AAGTTGCAGGTATTGAAATAAAATCACGGGCCATCTTCGATAAAGTCGGATAGTCAAATTATTATTATTATTATTATTACATTACATGTGCTAAAACTTAGTCAAAACATATAAAAAACAAATTAATGACATTAACTTGACTGTATTATAAAGAACATTATCTGTCTAGAAGGAGATTGATAGACCCTTATATGAAATGGAATAAAAGAGTTATACAGTTTACCATTTATTTATAAAAAAAAAAATACAATACAAATTAAATTACATAACAGTACACAACAGCTTTGATATTACTGTTACTTTATATTAATTCTTTTGCCCAAGAATTAATACAAAGTAACCATCTGGCTGACTCATCACTAAACCTGTTTCTATGTTTTCTAATTACTAATGATGCTTTAGAAAATAATCTCTCAGCAGGTACTGAAGTTGCAGGTATTGAAAGAAAATCACGGGCCATCTTCGATAAAGTCGGATATTCTTTCTCATGCGTCCTCCACCACTCTAAAATGTCTTCCGAACTGGCGGCTCTGGGTTTACTTAGGTACTTCTCCAACCCGTATATAACTAAGCCTTGATGAAAAGATCCAGATCCAGATGACGTCGAGGGACATGCATACAATTTCTCAAAATCTATTACGTCTTTATCTTCATCATATTCACATACTTTCCTTTCATTTCTTGGTGATTCTAGAGATGTATTCACTGAGTGTAGACTTTTATATTCTTTATAAAGTTCATTAAATTTGCGCAGGCTTTCTATTTTAATTTGCTTCCCCCATAATGTCATGTCAAAAGTCTGAGTCGTATGCCTTGGGTCGAAAATTAAAGAGGTACAATAAATCCAGTTGCTCTTTTTATAATGTTCAAGCATTTTGTCTCGAGCTGCTTGAAAACCCAGAATGAGCCTTTCATCCACTTCGGATCGATTAGGTTACTCATCTAATTGTTTTACCATGGATTCAATTTTATCGAGCAAGAGATTGAATGATACAATGACTAGCGGTAATGTAACATATTTTTCTCGACCAAGTTTCGTTGATAGAAGTTTAAAGTTTATTAGAAACTTATGCGTTTTTTCGAGTATTTGCCATTCACTATCTGTGATTTGAAAATCATTCAATTCGGTGACAGAAGTGCACAATATGTTAATGCTAGTTCTCACTTTTAAACCAAACCAATTCATCTTCCTCAGTTTCGTCTTCATTATCTTCATGCTGCTGTTCTTGTCCCTTATTGTCAGTTTCACTGTGTAATGCTAAGGTCTTTAATAAATCTTGTACACCAAGGTTCAAAATGTGAGCAAAGCACCGGAAATGTTGATTGTCTGAATCAAAGTGTGGCAGCTGTTTGTCCAATTCATACATAAATTTGGTATTTTCAGTTGCGTTGTCGACCGTGATACCCTGTATTTTATCAATTATGTCATATAAACATTCGTGGAAAATCGTTGCAAATCTTCCCCAGTATGTCGACCGCGTGATGGTATAAAATCAAGGACTACAGATCGATACTTCCATTCGTTGTCTATATAATGAATAGTGACACCGTAGTAACTCCTACCAGCAATTGACGTCCATCAATGGTAAATGACATTTTAGTTGAAAATTGTTGTAGTCGTTTCTTAAGATTCAATTGAAGCTCTTCAAACCGTTCTTTGACCTTCCAAGTGTGGACCTTTTATGAAACACCATATTTGTGCAAATTGATCGAAAATATACATGTGTAGCTTCGTCATCGAAAAATGAGAAGGAAAGATATTTTTTAACCATCCAATCAACTGAAATAAAACAGTAAATCATGTGTCTCGCGCATTATAAAAACAAATGAAAATATGAGTGAAATATAAATACATATTAACACTATAATCTATATATATATATATATATATATATATATATATATATATATATATATATATATATATATATATAGATTATAGTGTTAAATATGTCAATAGTCAGTGAGTGGTAGTTGTATATATATATATATATATATACAACTACCACTCACTGACTGACTATAACGATATCTCAGGAACTATAAAATATACAAACTTGAAGTTTGTAAGGTAGGTTCCTTTTATGGCATAGAGATCTGTTAAGAAACGGTTTTGAGAAAATCTATCCCTAAGAGAGTGAAATGGGAGTTGGAAGTTTGTATGAAAGTCCTACGTTTTTGAAGTTAGAGACACGAAAATCGGCATTAAAGTTATAAGTTTTCAATAATAAAATCCTGAATAAGCTGTTTTACGAAATCCTAACCCTAAGGGGGTAAAATTGGGGTAAAATGGTTACATGCAAGTCCTATATTTTTAAAGTATAGATATGAAGATCGACATTTACTTTATTAGTTTTAAATAATAAATACTTGCATAGTTAAGCTTTACCTATATAGCCTCTTTATACTTAGGTAAGACTTTTGCAGTGAGAAAATTTCAAAATCTCATAGGAAATCAGACATTGTACGCGGACGAAGTCGCAGGCGGCCGCTAGTTACGTAATATATGTGTTATGTAATTGTGTGATAAGTGTATTTTTTCTTACCTGTCCACTTTTTCTGGTGGTTATTAAAAAGCTTGTAATATCTCCACTCAATTTTGGTTTTTCAGGAAGAAATATTTGTGATTCCTTTTTGTGGAAAGATATTAGATGCTTCCATAAGCCTGAAGTGTTTCTGTTTTTCATTTTTATTTCAACCTTTTTATGTTGGCATAATTTACATAAAGCAATTTGGGATGCATGAATTATGTCGAAAAACTCATCAAATTTACTTTTAGGTCTTTTAGATCTATAACTCCAACTCTCACTACTCCGACTAGAACTATTCGACTCTTCGTCACTCATGTCAAATTGTAAACTTATCACTCCGAGAACAACAAGGATTAGAGTAAAAACAATTAATACATTAGACTCGAAACAAAGCTCAATTGGGAATGACTGGAATTAAAATAAATACTACTATTTGTAAGTACACGCCGAAAGACCGACAAAGGAAAGTTCGGCATCCTTTGATAAAATTAATGATTCTTCAGAAGATTAATAAAGTAGATGCGTTGCCAGATAGGTATAGTGTGCCTACGTAAAAATGAAATGTAAATATGTAAATAAAATTGTGTATATTATGTGCTTCTTGTGATTGAATTAATCTACGTTAATTAAATTAAATTTGCCGTCACTCGTTTGAAATTCAAAATTCAAATATGTTTTATTCAAGTAGGCATTAAAAACACACTTTTGAATAGTCATATAATCACTGTTTTCCCCAATTTTTTCTTTTCCATGTCCAGGGGTTCTGGTTCTACTGAGAAGAATCATGGAAGAAAGTAAGAAACTCAGTAGTTGCCCTTTTCAAAATATTTTTACAATAGTTCTACAATTATGTAAAGCGATAAGTCAAATATAAAATGTCAAATGTATATGTAGATAACAAATCGGTTTAGAAATTTCTAGTTAGTCCTGTGTAGTACGAGAGGTCAGTTCCAAGCATTTTTCTCTGACTTAAATTGAAAAGATAAAAGATCTAACATTTCTTTTGGAGTCTTATTATAAAAGCGTATATCGCTACCCAAGAACGCATTATATACTTTGTGTAACCATAAAGTAGGTATTGTGATTTTACTTTTATTTCTACTATTAAAATTGTGCAAATCACTATTATTTACGTCAGTTCGATGCAATCAATTCCTTTAAACGGTTCTCTAAGAGATACTCGGGCTCCTAAAAAGTACTCCTAAAAGATCTTATTTTACGCTTTATATTTAATATGTACACTTTTTATATTATTCGATTAGCATTGTACAAAATGTTTACACGTTTCAAGTGTGTTAAAAGTGTCTACAATATTTATCAAATGGGTGACGACATATTTGAACACTTTGTGTTCAAAAACACACACTTCCAAAAATCGAGATTTGCAGTGAACTTATTGAACATGTTTATCTATTAGGTAATAATAATAATAGTAAGTAATTATTATAAACCCATATAGTTAATATTATAATAATTACTTACTAGAATAAATTATTATGGTATCTACCTATCCTTACCATTATCTAATTACAATATTCCTTGCGAGATCAGCATAATGTGTTCGTGTCCATTCTGAGCACCCGGAAACTTATTTTATTCTTTGGAACATGTACTCTGTGGCGGCACAAAAGTGTCAAATGTAGTGCGTGCGGCGGCGACGGTTGAATGCGATATCAATAGAAGCCGCCGGCGCGTGTATCTTGACCTTGTACTTCCGAATAGCTGCAAAATTTCTTTGACAGGTCAGTATTCGACCTTTGATGATGCCGACAACAAGACGCCGCGCACTATCAAAGGGCCGATGGTCAAAACTAGGGTTGCACTGTTTTTTTCTTTTTAATGGATATTTTCATCCGCTATGTATGTTTATGGTATTGTTCGTAATGCATATAAGTCCAATTTTCCAATGTTTTTATATATATTTTTTGCGTATCATAGAGTCCCTAAGCGTATACCCGAACTCCTATACTCCCTGAAACGACACTCATTCCTAACTGCAATACGCAAGAGTCTCGCAGGCTTAGTCTTGTTCTTGCTCAAATCTTGCACGGTCTTGTTCTCAATTTTACTAAAATTAGACGGTCTTGTTCTTGGCCTTGGTCTTGCAAAAATGCAAGAACAAGACCAAGACTGCAAGACCAAGACCGATTTAGGGCAACACTAGTTTTAAGTCAGAATTCCGTTTTTTAAGTTATTTTAACCCTTTTATTGGACTAATCAATGGCACAAGCTCAAGTTCGGATACTAAAAAAAGAAAGTATCAAAACAGTGATTTTTTTTTTCAAATTAAAAAGTACCATACTTTAGGTATCATTCAATAAGAAAGAATCATTAAAAAAACTAAATACATGTAGTCGAATTACGAACCACCTCTTTTTTACAGTTGGGTAAAAATAAACTAATTAACTGCTTTATTGACATGCGCTGATCAAACGGTTTGAGTGTTATTTATTTGTTATAATTCCTCAGCGTCAAGGCTGTGGCTGGAGGAATCCAAACGGTGTCGGACTCATGACCACCGGTGAAGTCGGTGGGGAGGCAAAGTTCGCCGAGTTCCCATGGATGGTCGCCATTTTGAAGTAAGTGAATTAACAAACATTACAGATTATGATTCCGCGTCATCATAATTAATCTGTAAATAGACTAATACAGGTCTGTCCCAGATAATGGAGCGAGAGAGTGATGTACCGCCTTTATCAGAATTGCAGGATCAAAAGTCTCCAGTTTCCAACAAATTTGTTTATCAACAACTTTGTGATCTAAATTTCCATTTGAGCAGGATTATAGTGCACGAGAGCGTGTCCGAACGCAGGTTTAATCTCTATTCCCTCGCTCTCATTACTCCGATGGGACCACAATCCGACACCGGAGAGAGCTCAGGCGCAGGATCATGGGCTTTACGAGCTTTCCAAGGCGAGAGGGTGAAACATCTTTCTGACTCCAGGCTGTTATAAAAAAAATTCTCGACAGAAAATCCAATAACTGATTTCAGTCTGACCCGGGTACCGGGTACACTGTAAGATTATGCCCACCATATCAAAAACAGGTCAAAGCATCCATCATTAACCATTTACTTGTATAAAATGTACAAGTCTGAATCTACTTCCTATTAACATATTAATTTATATATATGAAATATAAAATGTTGCCATCTATGTCTCTTTTTTAATGTGGATTAGAGATTTTTATGTTGAGTCTTATCAATTTGTTTTAAAGTAAAGATGTAAAACAAAGGATTAAAACTCGAAAAGAGTACATCCGCAGTGGAACCAGATACATCAATATTCAGAAGCAAGAATCCCTCCGGCGCTTTAGAACCATTTTAAAGATTTAGTATATCCTTATGTTTACAATTATGTTTTATGAGTTTCGACAACGACAATATCAAGATAAGTTACTACCAGTGTAAAATAGCAGTTTAATGCTGCTGTGTTTCGTATGGTGAGTGTAGAGAACCGGAGACCCGTTTTACTTAAATCACAACGCATGACGGTGACAACGCATTTGCATTTTGATTTTCAATCGAGGATAAATGTAGATATCTATGGGTTACGGTATCAGTGTACTTACCATCAGGTATAAATAAAAGAAACAACATGATAGAGCTACGCTGCAGCTATATAATGGGTGTAGCTCGAATGGGTAGGCTCAAAGGAGGAAGACTACGCACTGACATAATACCAGCGAGAAATAGCAGCTTAATGCTTTTATGTTTTGTACGGTGAGTGTGGAGAACCGGAGACCCTTTTTACTAGAAATGAAGTATTGCATCTTAGTCCTCAGAGGTGAAAATACATCTACATTTTGGTTCTTAATCAGTGATATATGTAGATGTATATGGGCCTCAACATCCACTTACTTTAATCAGGACAGAACCACTCTTCGTCAAGGAAAACAACCCATCGGGTCAAAACATGAACGTCTACGTTGGTGGTGGGTCCTTAATCCACCCGAATGTGGTCCTCACCACGGCGCACTACGTGGTCGAGGCCAACCGGCTGTTCGTTCGCGCTGGAGAGTGGGACACGCAGACCACCAAGGAACCGTATCCGCATCAAGATCGGGAAGTGATGAAGATCGCAGTCCACAAAAACTTCAATAAGAGTGAGTTCTTCAGTTGAGTTGTCATATCCTGTCCATACCTTTAAACGGGCAATTCTTATATATATATATATTAAATATAAAATAAAATATATATATATATATATATATATATACATATATATATATAAGTAGTACCTGGATGACCGAGCTTCGTTCGGTATTTTATTTTTTGGAAATTATATTTAGATACAAATTGAACGTACTGAAAATTACAGATGAAACATTTTTTGATCTTATTGACATAACAATTACAATATAAGAAGGTAAATTTTGACACCGTGTTAATGATTATAATAGCTCGAAAGGTATATCGGGCGGTCACGACATCGTAGTGCCCTGGTTCGTGTCCTGTCTTCAGTCCGACTTTTTTTTTCATTTTTTTTTTCAAGTTTTCCTCTTTTCTAAGAAAATCTATTCCTTTTTAGTATTTTCAAAAGCACGAAAATTTAAATTCAACTAATTGCACTCATGATTTTTACTCAAATAACCAGGTCAGTTTTCTATTATATCGGTAAGATCAAAAAATATTATTCATATTTTATCAGTATGTAATTTTTATCTAAATATAATTTCCACAACACACGATTTTAAAAAAATCAACGGTCAACCAGGTACTCTATGTAAACCGTGTAATGGTGGTGTAATGGTGGTATCATCCCGTAAGTGTCTTAGCAGGCGATAAATGGAAAGAAACCAGGAGGTGGGCAGACAGCGTCTTCCTAATAACATCTAGAAAATAAAAAAACTGCTTGCCATCTGATTACCAACCCGGCAGCCAAATGTGGCTGGTTGTGGCAGAGCACTTTAGACTAGCTGTATGGATGATGATGATGATGATCTATATATATATAAAAAAAAAATATATATATATATATATATCATGATACATCTGTTAGTGATCATGTAACTGAACCAATGGAGGACATATTCACACCATTTTTTATTTTGTCAGGATGATGGTTCATAACTATGCTAGGACCCGATAAGTGGCGCATTAATCTAGTTTAAATGTTTACATATTCATAAATGTATCAATAAATTCCACATTTATGAACCAACTCATATTAATAAACACTTATTTCTCCCACTTTTTACATAGTTACAATATATATGTGTGTGTGTGTGTGTGTACGTGCGTGCTTGCGTGCGTGCGTGCGTGCGTGCGTGCGTGCGTGCGGTGCGTGCGTGCGTGTGTGTGTGTCTGTGTTTGAGAAATAAGAAAAAATTTTTCGAAGACATGTGAAGTTCACCAATACGCGGTAAGAAATTTCCTAGCCCTGAAACCCTATCACAAATGAGAGGAAGCCTGTGCCCAGCTGTGGGATGTATAAAGGCTGTAACTTTAATTCAGTGCCAAAAAAACATATCACAAAATCGAGACCCGATTATGTTCCCCGTTATGGCGACGAGAAGAAGTAAAGAAGATAGAAACTTTTTTATTCAGAACTTATTGAAAGTCAGTCTTATGAATAATTCATACGTGGTAGAGCCACGCTGCAGCTATATTATGATTGTAACATGAATGGGTCGGTCGACCGCGAAACGAAAAAGAAAAAGAAAAGAGCTTACTCCTTTCTAAAGGGCCGGCAACGCACCTGCAATTCCCCTGGTGTTGCGGTTGATCATGGGCGGCGGTATTCACTTAACATCAGGTAAGCCGCATGCTCGTTTGCATCTTCTATAAAAAAACGACCACGCGCTAACAGTCCAAAACGCACTTGAATTTTGATTCTTAATCGAGGATAAATTTAGATGTCCATGAGCCACAGCATCCAAATACCATCAGGTGAACTGTGTGCTCATTTGTTACCCTATTCTATAAAAAAATCCACTGGTGAGACCGCGGGGAACAGCTGCTAACTAATATAAAATAAGCTTATAATGCTAGGTATTAAGCAACATTGTAATGTAACATGTAGGGATAACGAATAAAGATGCTTTATTATTATTTTTACAATTATTATATACTCTTCACTAAAATATTGGAGATATTGTAAAACCATGAACAATTTAAGCGAGATTAAATCAAAATTTCGTCTAGTTCAAGTCAACTTTCACTAATACTTCGCTAACTCTGAGGCGCTTAGTTCATTTTTAGTAACGCGTGACGTCATCTCTCTTCTTTTAAAAAAATACTAGCAATGCCATTTACATTACTAATATCCTCTGTAACGACTCATGGCAATCTTAATATGTGATGCACGACAGTAGTCGAATGGCGGATTCGAACCCACGACCTTTTGAGTTCGCGGTCCGTACCTTGCCATGAGGCTACTGTCGCTTCAAACCTTCGCACCGTTATACCACCACAACTCCGTTCCCTTACAGAAAATTTGTACTACGACATCGCTTTGCTGTTTCTCAAGTTTCCGATGACTTTGGCGCCCAACGTGGGGTTGGTTTGTCTGCCATCACATCGCCAACGAGTTCCCGCCGGTACTAGATGCCTTGCCTCCGGCTGGGGGAGGGACAAGTACGGATTGTCGGGCCAATATCAGGTCATACTCAAAAAGGTAAGTTTTGTTTAATTAATGTAATCTAATATATCGGTATAGTGTATAGTGGTGGGTCGTTGTCGAATTTTCGACGAACGAAACGCAACCGTTTTCCCGACGACGAAAACGGTTGCAAAAAACGGTCGTCACTGCTACTCGTTTGAAGACGACTTAAAGGACGCCGAAAATTTTTCATTGATTAATGCTACTTTAATTCTGATAATAAGACTGATTGTAGGTATTGCTGAGACTGACTAGTAATTTTATTCAAATACTTACTAATTTGAATACCCAGTCATTGATAAAATAATAAATGTACATAAGTTTTGTTGACATAAATAATCAAAAAAGTTTCTGTTATTATTTTGTTATATTTTGTATAGTTGATTTATATTATTCTAAAATAATATCTCAATAAAAATAAATTAATATCTTAAAATTGAATTTTTTGAAGGTTTTTTAGAAATTCACGATATTATTCTGGGCACGTTTCTATCAAACCTCGGCACGATATTATCCAACCAAAAAAACGGAAGAGCGTGGTTTTATCAGATACCACGCTCTCCTGTTTTTTTTAACTATAACAAAATTACTTTCTGTTAATTTTTTAAAATATTTTGCCATGTTGGATGTGTAGCTAAATAAATTACACTTGAAATTGCAACGCACAACAAAAACCCGTCATGAAGATAAGCTGTCATTTTTATAGATTAGTGACGTTTGTCCTCAGTCCTATTTTTTTAAAGAATATTAACAATGGTATTAACACTACTACTAATATTCCCCTTAACCACTCGTGGTAAGCATATATTGCTTGTGTTACGAGTGGTTCACGTCAGTAGTTGAATGGCGGATTCGAACCCACGACCTTTTTGAGTTCGCGGTCCGCGAACTCAAAGGCTACTGTCGCTTAGACATCTGTCTTTATATGATCGAAACTTATCCAATATGGAATAGAATTGCGTTTTCGTCGAGTGAAATGGTTGCAGTTTTTTACAACTATCAACGATTTTCGACTTTACTAATGTTTGTAAACGAATACGAAACCAAAGACTACAATAAAACGTGACGACGAGTGAAATAGATAGTTGAATCACTGCATTCTCGAATGTATTTTCATAGACTTAAAATAAAAAGTAGCATCAAGTAATTCGAAAACTGGTTTGTGCAACGAAGACTGTTTGGACTCAGGACGTTAAACGGTTTCTTCGTCGCAGAACACAATACGCTCTTTGTAAACGGTTCGTCGTCGCAACGCCCACCCCTAATAGTGTATGATGATTGCCTCGTTGGTCTTGTGGTAATTTTAGCGACTGATAATCATGATGGTCCTGGATTCAAATCCCGGATCGGGCCGAAAATATATCAGTTATTGAGTTTTCCATCAAAAAATTCTCATCACCCCAGTACATCGAAAAAACGTAAAGCCTGATATATCTCCGGTCGTGTCGGTTTACCGTCCCATCAGACTATGAGGGTAAGGAAATAGAGAGCGTTTGCTCATAAACTTGGACACTATAATAAGCTGTCCTGGCCGAAGCCGCAACTGAGATTCGGTTTTGGTTAATTTCCAATGGTACATTTTCGCCGGGACACGCTCTGTCCCGTGTTTGTGTTCCCTCTGCTACGGAAGCAAAGCCATGTTTGCTTTGCTTCCGCTGCAAAGCACAGGTCTACTTTATTATTTAAAACTTTTTTATGTAAGTCATTGACACTATGCACGGAACCAAGGAAAGCAGGCACCAAATGTTATAGGTAAAGTAGCTTGTTTCCTGGCTGTTGTATTTAAAGTTAATTTAAAAAAATCCCAAGTTATTTAAAGTTTATCTATATCTTTTAGTAAGAGCAATGTGGGGATTTAAGATTTGGTTTGAATGGTCTAAGTTTAAGATATACAATTTATCTACGTGGTTTAAAAACTGTTATATTATTGTTTTTAAATAAGGTTTAATACTTTCGAAAAACACCGGGGCATCTAGAAGGTATAGCGATCCCCACTGACAGTTTTTATTCCTGGAGAAATATGATTGAAATTTTGAATTAAAGTATCTCTGTTAGAACTTGATAAATTATTGAAAATATTTTTTTTATTGGAGTTGGTTTTTACTATTTAAGTTTTATTATTTTTTCTACGTGGTAGAGCCAAGCTACAGTTAGTTATATTAGTACTATAGTTGTAGCACGAATGGGTCGGATCGACCGGGAAAGGACCACGCTCTCACAGAATACCAGCGTAAAATAGCAGCTTAATGCTGCTGTGTTTCGTATGGTGAGTGTAGAGAACCGGAGATCCTTTTTGCTGGAAACGAGGCATTCCATCTTAGTCCTCACGGGTGACAACACATCTGCATTTTTATTCGTAATCGAGGATACATGTATGTGTCCATGCGCCACAGCAATCACTTACCATCAGGTGGACTGTGTGCTCGTTTGTCACCCTATTCTATAAAAAAATATTAATATTACTAGGTTTTGTATACAACAGAATTAACAAATAAAAAAGTCCTCGGTCTTACCGCAGATAGAACTGCCAATTGTAGACCATCAGACCTGCCAGAGGCAGCTGCGTCTTACCCGCCTGGGCCGTCACTTCAAACTGCACTCGACCTTTATTTGCGCTGGAGGGGAACGCGACAAGGACACCTGCAACGGAGATGGCGGATCACCACTGGTGTGCCCTATTGAGGTAATTTTTTATTTACCTACCCACCCGCTCAACGACAGCGTGGTGGTAATGAAAAAAAAAATCGAAAAGTCCTTTTTTACACGAGGACACGATTTGAGCACACGCATATATATCGCGAGAGCAAGGTGGGATATGTTGGATTTGCATCGACTTAAATTCCTATGATGTTCCACCTACAATAATCGCTCTTTGTCGGTTCTTCCTGAAACCCTCTTGCTCTTCAGGCAAAACACGCAGGAGCACAAGGCGCCTCCGTTTGTAATTACACCTGCGCGTAATGCACTTGTCGCTCATCACTCATTTACTTAATACAGTCATGCATTACGGAATTAGTAAGCGGAAGTAACGCTAAGTAGGCGGAGTGCAGGGTGATATATATATATATATTCAAGATGCGTGGTGATATATTATTTCAACTGATTTTGCTACGCACGCACACATTCACATGGGTCGATCGGTAGGCAAAAACTTTATTGCCCATAAATCACGTTCAATTTGGGATAGTTTCAAATAAATGTAGAAGTCTTATTCATTCATATTTTCAAAAAATGCAATAACGGTATTATTCATATCATTATTTATTTATTTGAACTTAAGTTTAAAAGGCTACTCTACTATGTATATACAGGTTGTCCCAAAACTGTTCACTCCTGTTGCCACAAATCTTTACTTTTCTTTTCTTTTTTTTTCAGTCTTTTCAGAGTTTAAAAAGCAGCTGCTTTAGCTTGCATAAAAATAGGAATTATTATGTATTATATATACATATGGCGTCTCGATATACGTACACTCCTTTACCCCCCGCGACTCCACCTTTAATAGACACATTGTAAGCTGAAACGCTTCACAGGCGTATTGAAGCTAGTAGTATCACACGTCTCGCACCCTTGGCGCTGCTTCCCTCCTATCTTAAAATTTGACAAGTGTTAGGAAGCCGTAAAATGTTTCTGACATGCCGCATAGTCCTCTAATGAATCTCTTACGTCACAACCACATTACACGACAAGCATAGAATATAGAAAGTGAGGCAGGAAAATGTGTGGCATAACCGACCATCAATAATACTATCACTATCAATAATACTATACTATCAATAATACCACGCATATTTGTACGTGGTAGAGCCATGCTGTAGTTATATTAGTAGTATTGTTGTAGCACGAATGGGTCGGCTCGACCGGGGAAGGACCACGCTCTCACAGAATACCAGCGTCAAATAGTAGCTTAATGCTGCTGTATTTCGTATGGTGAGTGTAGAGAACCGGAGACCCTTTTTACTGGAAACGAGGCATTCCATCTCAGTCCTCACGGGTGACAACGCATCTGCGTTTTGATTTTTAATGGAGGATAGATGTAGATGTCTATGGGCCGCAGCAACCACTTACCATCAGGTGGACTGTGTGCTCGTTTGTCACCCTATTCTATAAAAAAAAATCAATGCTGTTGAAAACAGTTTTTCCGATAAAATAATATTGTCATTTTTTTCAGTTTCAAAACGAACGGTACATACAAAGTGGCATGGTAGCTTGGGGTATTGGATGCGGAGAGGATGGCACTCCAGGTGTTTACGTCGACGTGGCAGGCCTGCGGGACTGGATAGACATGAACGTCGCTGCTGCCGGATACGACACTTCTGTTTATAGTTTATAGATATAAGAAAAAAAACTGGATTTACGACAATAATACTTTTGCCTAGGCTTAAAAATAAAATTAGTTTTTTCTTACTTTTTTTTTTATTTAAAGTGTAACTTTGACAGACGGGAAGCACGTTATAATTAATATGGCGGGAAATTGTCCTTGATGTGTTGCGGTCTTTATTAAAGTAAGATGCTGACTGGTTGTGAGAGGTTTACCATTCTGAGGCTGTCGATGAGTTAAAAGAAAAGATAGTGAGTGCTCCAGTGTAAGCAATTTATTCAACGGTAGAGCCAGAGTACAGAATGAGTGACCGGTAGAATTTGCTTTGCTCACATTGACAGATACACAAAATAGGTATACTCGAATGGAGAAAGAGATACTCGCCATAGTTTTTGCTGTCGAACGGTTTAGCCAGTACATAGGTATACAGTAAGTCAGATGTTACATGGCACATGTAAATGTTACATAACACATACAGTTCTTATATGACACATGTAGATGTTACATAACACATGTAGACTATGTTACATGACTAACGTGACCACACGTCCCGCTTTAGGCGGGACTGTCCCAACTTTAGACCGTCTATCCCGCTGTCCTCAGTAAGAGAAAAAATGTCCCGCTTTAGCTTTACGCATGCATCTATCGACACGATAAGAGCCGTGGTAGCTCAGATCGTTAACGCTCGCTGTAAATATAACAGAACGCGAGTAACCCGAGTCCGATTCCCGCCGACACAAAGTAAATTGTTAATTGCAATTTTAAATGCTGATTTACCACGTGCTTGGCGATGAAGGAAAACATCGTCAGGAAATCTATATGTCTGAGGAATAAGAAAAAAATATATTTCGAAGACATGTGAAGTATGCCAATACGAATTGGGGCAGCGCGGCGGACGCTTCCTTGCCTTAAAAACCCTCTCAGAAATGAGGGTAGGCCTGTGCCCAGCAGTGGGACGTATATAGTCTATAACTTTTTGCAGCGTTCGAGTACAATTTCTGAAAGAGATATGTGATTCTACTGACACAGAGTATCAGAAACCCTTGGGCTCCAGTTAAACAAGGTGGCTTGCGGTAATGCCGACGCTTGAGAGAGTTTTGAAAATGTTTGAATCTTTGAATAGCTACTTCTTGAGCATCGAAAAATGTCCAAATATTTTAGGAGCATTCTTCGAAAATCGCAGCTCTCAGTTATGGTTATATTTTTGCATGTACAAGCAGCAACTTTTCATTTAGTCGTGTTGAATATCGGGGGTCAAAAGGTATCTGCAATAGAGACTTCAAAAGAAATTAATCGTCTACGAGATAACTTGGAACGTAAAAAGAATTAACTTTTTACGTTCACACTGTCCATAGTCTACAAGTAAAACTACAGAAAACTGATCAGAAGAATGTGAAAACTTTGGCGAAGTTTCCCTGTAAAAGTCATGGTGGTAGACTTTGAGGAGGAAAACTCTAGTCGATTCCTTAGCTCCCACTCCAGTATAAGGTTCAGAGTGAACCTGGCCCTGGATTCGATACCAGCTCTTTTCCGATTCAATCAAGATTGTGACTTTATCGGCATAGGCAGTCATGACTACTTCCTCAGACAGGAAGAGTCGGAGTAAGTCGTACATCAGCACGTTCCACAGTGTTGGGCCTAGCACGGAGCCTTGAGGACATCCCCTGTTCGAGGTCTTGCACTCTCACGACAAGTACAGAATACTTGGAGCTGTGGTGTCAGTTCAATGCAGAACTAAAAGTATTTCAACGGACACCACCAGTAAGGCAGTAACCTGAGCGTTGGGGGTGTGACTGAACCGGCGAAGATAGCCAATCTTTTTAAGAGTCAATTCCGGGTTCAGTCTTCTTTACAGTCACCTGTTAAAGTCGATGCCGAGGTTCATCGCCAGACTGGTGCATCAACTTATGTGCCCGATCGCATCACTGCCAGGGACATCGCTGTTTTGATAAATGGCATGACTGGAGAAAAGTCACCTGGTCACGATTGCCTTATCATCGAGAACTTTCAGCACGCTGACCCGCACTTACCTAGACTGCTGGCGCTCTTGTTTACCCTATGTATAAAGCACTCTTATTTTCCGGAAAAGCTGATGAGAGCGGTCGTGGTTTCGGTTTTGAAATACAAAACCAGAGATGTTTCGGATATGTGCAACTATCGGCCCATTTCATTATCGACAACTGCGGCTAAGATACTTGACCGTGTGCTTGTGAGACAGTTAAAAGTACATATTAAGTTAAACGATGCACAATTTGGTTTTAGACCAAATCTATCAACTGAGTGTGCAATACTGTCGCTGAAACACACTGTGGGGTATTACACTGTAGGGAATACGCCAGTGTACGCGGCCATCTTGGATCTTTCAAAGGCTTTCGACCTGTCAGGTCATTCTGTGAGATAAATTGCGAAAGGCTGGTCTACCCGTCTCGTACATTAGTATTTTTAGCTATTGGTACGATCATCAAATAATCAGGGCGGGTGGTCTAGTGCACTGTCGGACGTATACAGATTAGAATGCGGTGTGAGACAAGGTGGTTAATCTCACCTACGCTTTTTAATTTATATATAAATGAACTGATTCATAGACTCGGGAGTGCACGTGTCGGCTGCTCTATTGATGGACTCTGCATGAACATCAGTTACGCAGACGACATGGTGCTTCTGAGCCCGTCAGTCAGTGCACTCAGACGGCTTTTGTTCATATGTGAGGTTTATGAAGATGCCCAGGGTCTAAAATATAATGTTGCGAAGAATTAATTCATGGTGTTTAAGGTGGGCACGAAGAAAGCTAATTTAGTACCACCTGTAACTTTAGGGGGTGTTGCACTTAAACGAGTAACTGAATTTAAATACCTCGGTCATGTTGTTACCGAAGATTTAAAAGATGATAAAGACATTGAAAGGAAAAGGAGGACGCTGGCTCTCAGCGGCAATATGCTGGCCCGTTGGTTCTCACGCTGTACAGCCGAGGTAAGTTATTTTATTTAAGGCCTATTGCCAATCTCTCTATACGTGTACCTTATGTGTCAGATATACGCGGCGGGCATATAACACCATACGTACACAATATAATAACGCTTTTAGATTGTTGCTGGGACTCCCACGTTACTGTAGTGCATCAGGTATGTTTGTTGACGCCCGCGTAGACAATTTTTCAACACATATTCGCAAAAGCAGTGCGTCACTGATGCACAGGGTCGGTGGGAGCGCCAACAGCATTCTTAACGTAATTAGTGAAAAACCCGAGTGTGCTTTTTTGAGGCACTGGGTTCATGTCCATGTACCCATTGCCTCGGACAGGCACCCCAGGTATATGAACTAATGTTATTTAATTTATTACCTACTTTTACTTACATATATTTAAGACTTTTTCTTTTTATTTTTAACAAATTCATTACGGTATTAATTATTATTATTACATCATTATGGTAAGTTTTGTTGGTGGTTTTGTGGCAACGATGACATCGGTTCTGTTATTTTATTATTATTATATTTTCAATATTATTATAAATGCTTACGCATTTGATATAATACAGTACCAGCTTCTTCCAGTTGACCGCATCCAGCGCAGAGCGGCTCGAATCGTCGATGACCGAGTGCTTTCCGATCGGCTCGATTCACTGGCACTGCGAAGAGATGTTGCATCTCTTTGCATTTTCTTTCGCATATAACATGGAGAGTGCTCTGAGGAATTGTTCGGATTAATCCCAGCTGCCAAATTTCGTGAACGCACTACGCGGGAAGCGTCCCGATACCATCCACACCATCTGGATGCTTGGCGGTCCACCACTGTACGTTTTAAAAGGAGTTTTCTTCCGCATACAACCTCTCTGTGGAATAGTTTACCACCGGCGATTTTTCCGGACCGATACGACCTGGGGACCTTCAAGAAAAGAGCTTACTCCTTTCTAAAGGGCCGGCAACGCACCTGCAATTCCCCTGGTGTTGCGGTTGATCATGGGCGGCGGTAGTCACTTAACATCAGGTGAGCCGCATGCTCGTTTGCCCCCTCTTCTATAAAAAAAAATTAATATTAGTAATGATTTATAATTTTAGTATTAGATTTGAATTTAATGAATTAACTTTACCCTATGATGCTTGTTGATTGAAATAGATAAATGACTGAAAAACAAAAAAATATAAAAAAAAATATTACAATTATCAAATTTTTTGAACGTTCCGGATGAAACAATTGAGTATACTACGACCAGAGTATAGTAATGTTTGACGACCGACGTTATCGAGAGGCTCTCCAAACCACGGAGTACTGAAGCAAGAAATGATCCATTCGAATAATCGACCAAAATAACCCAGTTTGTAAGAGGAATCAATACTTAAATGATCGGGTCACTGATACAAGAATGAATGACATAATATATCTACTGCCCGTCATAACTGAATGGTTATACCGCCATCTATAGTTATCTGCTATCCAAATTTATTTACGAAATTATTTTATACATTATTCTAAAACAAAACACAAGAAATAAAAGTTAAGCTTTATTTCAACATTTCTATTTAATATTTTAATATACATTAATTATTCACAGACTATAAATTTGTTTATATAAACCGTTGCTCCATACATTAGGAACGTTAGACGTTTTTAATAAAAGAAAAAAAAATTATTTCACAATTTTAATACTCATTTAAAAATAACAATGAAGTAAAATAACGTAAAGCGTGAAAATATCGAACAATATTTACAAGGAAATAATTGATAAGTATGATTTCTTAACCTAAGTCTCATCGCTTGATTTCTTTAAATTTGTAAAGATAAAAAGTATAAAATGTTCCCGTAAATGAATAAGTTTACGATTAAATGAGAAAACAAAACAAAAATAGCAATAAAAATTATCTATGTATGACGACCTTTTATAATAACAAATCTAAAACCTTCAAGTAATGGACTTAACGCAAAGGTCACTTACGTTACGGGAAACTCTTAAAACTATTCCAAACAGTTATAGTTTTTTTTTTTATTCGACATTGGAATGAAATAAAAGTTGGCA